GGGTATTTCGGTAAAGTATCAGTTCGGGTTTTTGTGGAAATTAGATTTTTGTTTGGAAGGTCTTAAGGCTAGTCTGATTTGATAGAAGTGTAAGTCTCCTCCTTACCTTTTCATGGATATAAGGGTGGTCGGAATCAAAGTTGAATCAATGGAGTTATGCCCTTCACAGTATTTTAGGATTTGAATAGGAAACCTAGTACGTGGGGCATATCAAGGGAGTACGCGGGGTGTACTGATGCGAGGCATTACGTCATGCGTACTATTGTGTACGCTTAGCGTACTACAAGGTTGGGATCATGGTGCGAGACCTCATACACTGGGCGTACGAGGAGTACGCTGGACGTAAGAGCATGATTCAGAAAACCTAAAATTTCTTGTTACACCCTATTTAAACATTAAGTGAGCCTCATTTGTTCATTTCTAAGATAGCCTCCATACTCTAAAAACCCTAAATCAACTTTATGCCCTCTTGGTGGTGTTCTTGAGCTATTGGAAGGTTTTGGTATACATTTTTCCATTGGGAAGCAAATGAGAGAAGCTTGAAATTGTTTGGCTTGGTGGAGAGGTCCAAGTCCTAAAATCATCATCTTGTGCGGAAGATTTTTAAGGTATCAAGTTTGCATCTTGGTTTACATATGTCTAGATCTCTTCTTGGTTAGTTCATTATTATTTTGGTCTTATTCTTGGGTTTATGGATGAGTTAGATTACTTTTGGATTTGTCCCTTCAGATCTAAGTTTGTTTTGGTGTCCTTGAACATAAAGGTGCAAGCTTTATGTGTATTATGGTATCATGCATGCATTAAGTCAACCATTAAGTCCCTTTTAAGCTTAAGAGCATCTTTTAGCCATGTATGAATGTAAAGTTAGCAACTTTACGTGGTATTCCAGCTTAAGGAAGTCATATTTATTTTGGAGCTTTGTCTTATTGGATTAAGTGAAAAATCCAGTTTGTGCTGAATAGGGTGAGTATGATGGGCGTACAAGCAGGTGCACTTAGCGTACAAGCCTACAAGCGACTACCCTGTGTATACGTGCCTGGACACCCCATGTACTCTGTCTATTTGGGCCATGCATATTTGGGCTACCTTTTGGGATTGGTTGCTTGGGGCCTTGTTAAGCCATTTGAGAATATGTGTTTTGGATTAGGGTTAAGTTAATGGGCTTTAGGGTAAGCCCAAGTAAGGTATGGGTCTAATTTGGAAAATTGGGCCATAAGTTGGCCTAGGATGATTTTTAGTTTGTGGACTTTATGATTGAGAATTTGGGCCCTAGTCTTGGACCATACTAGGTGAGGGGTAAGATGGTATTTTTACCCCATATATGGATTATTGGATTAGGTTTGGAACCTAATGGTTAATTGGGTGTTATTTGTTTGATGACGCGGGGATTTTAGCGGATCAACAGTCATAGAGTATCTGTAGGTTTCAACTGTTCGAGGTGAGTCTTCTCACTATATCCATGGGTCGAAGGCACCAATGGCGACCCATTACTTGTTATGTGGAATGCTAGTTATCTCTGTGATGCTTGCATGGAAGACCATGGAGGATCCCATGACATTTGGATATCATACCATTGGGGGGGGGGGGGGGGTGTTGAGCGTGTCAAACCCAACAAATAAAGTGTACAAATGACTCCTTAAACACTACTACTATGCACTAATAATGCAGTAGAATGTAAGTAGGGTCGATCCACAGAGACACAGGGACAAGTGTTTATACCTTTTTGCGTAAGGTACAAAAAATGGTCACAGAATGGGGGGAATTATAAGCAATGATTTAAACTATAGAGTAAAGCAATAAGTAAATGATTGATTTAATGAAGTAGATTCAAGATTTGTAAGGACTCCAACTCCATGCAAGACAAATTAGCAATGTGATTCCAATGATGAAATGATATTTGTTCAATTCTATCTAAATTGGTACATGGAAATGCTAACAATATCTAGCACCTCCCATTCACCACATTGATTAACCAAAATAAGCTCTTTGATTAATCCTAACCTTACCAATCTAATCTAAATAAGCTCTTAGAATTAGGTTGAAAGATTGCATTAAACTTTATGTGAATGTTCCCAACAACACTCAATACTCCTCATAAGTTCGGGAGCATAAGAATGTGTGAATAAGATTCACACTAAATTCATTCAATAGAAATCAGTTTAGTGCTTATTACCTAGTCCAATTTACAAAACAATTACGGATTTTTCAATTAGATAATTTGAATGATCTAACCCTAATTTAAATGGCCAATAAGAATCACAATTAGACTCAAACATTCGATTGAAACAAAATCAAATTCACTAGATAGAAAATTGAAAGAAAACATCAAGTCATATAATTGAAATCACAACTAGAAGTCAAGATATAAAGTTGGAGAATCTAGGGTTCTAGCCACTCATGCCTAGAACAAGATCACAAATCTAGAAAATGAAATTAAAGTTCTTACAAAATGAAATCAAATGTTCCCAAGTGTTAATCAACTTCAAAACCCTCAAGAAAATTGCCAATGGTAACTATTGTATGTCGCATGATATTCTGTGGTTGTATGACTATATGGTATTTTTGGGAACACACTCAGTTTTGTGCTTACGGTTTTTAGTTTATGTTTCGTGGCACACACTACATGTTTCCGCATTCTGTGAATTACTCTAATTTGATGATGTTTTTGCTCACTCTTGGTTACCTTGGTTTTATGGGAAAGAAATGTATTAATGATTTATTAATCTAAAAACAAAAAAATTTATGTCATGATTTTTGGGAGGTTACAAGTGTTACGCTTCAACTGAGTATGAAGGAACACAAGTTATGATTTCTTGAATTTTTTTTAATGCTCAATGTTTGTTAATCAAGACTACACTGGACTTAGCCTAACCATTGTTAAGTGTAACACTCAATTAGACTACTTAAGCTATTACTTTATAACTATTGTGGTTCTAGTTTCTTTGGACACCAAAAAGGAAGATGTTATCCATTTAGATCGACCTATATGTTTATGGGCATGGAATGTCACATAAATCCAAATTTAACTTGCAAAAGTGCAGCACAAACTCCGTCTATAATTTCAATTATAAACTTGATTTAAGGCCAGATTGAAAAACACATTCCTTAGTTGTACGTGTAAAAACCATAGATTACAGTAAATAGAAAGATAATGCAATAGCTACAACATTTGAAAGTTGAAACTTGTTTTGGTTTCTCTAATTAATCTCTTCATAACACCCTCAAGACAGAATAAATACAAAATTAGATTAACACTTAGCAGCAGTTGATTTGTTTGACTTTTTTGGGAAGATTCATAACGGTGGAGATTTTAGCAGCAGTTGAAGGTTCTTTTTGTCCTTACTGGTTGTATTGAACCTGTTTTCCTGCATTACCAGTTTCATTTAATGTACTCATAATTAGATAAGGAACAATATAGCAACCATCATCCCAAGGAAAATTCATCATTTACATTACCATTCATGACAATATGATCCTATTGAACCTGTTTCCCTGTTTTCATTAATACAATTAATGATATCTTATTGAATATTGACGAATTTGATCTTATTGAACCTATTTCCCTGTTTTGATCTCATTGGCTTCTAAAAAACTCAATGAAAAATGAATTTTATCTTCAAATCAACTATCTGATACCTCAAAGTGTAGTTAGGTCTTCAGCAATTATGACTTCATCTACTGAATTTCGTCCTCTAGCTGGAGCAGTTACCCCAGCCAGTAGGTTTCCTAATTATAATTATGTAAGGAACAATTTTTTTTTTGTTGAATGACTCACTGATCATGCTGATAGAGCGAGCAAAGAACCAAGTTTTCACATGTACATAAATTTCCTTGAAAAATCTAATTCGAAACAGCTGATGGAAGAAATGGTTCGAGAAACTTATGCGAATTGCAAGGTATTCTTTTCTACCTTATTCATTTGTTTTTTTGGGAATGCAACAGGTTCTTCTAAGGTCTGAGCTCATTCAGACAAGTTTTGAAGAGTGCTTATTGCTAAAGAATCTTGGAGGCTGGCTGGAAAGATCACAATTGGTAGAAATAGAGTTCTACTATCCAAACATGATGCATTTTGTTATAATAATTTCATGATCCAATACATATGCCCAAATCAGAAAAGAAAAATCGAAGCACATGATCATATTAATTAAATTAGATAAAATTTATTTTAAATTAATTATAGATATTAGATATTTGTAGTTTATTAAATCTTGAAAGAAATTAAAACAGAGATTGGATTTTTTTATCAATCTATATTCAACAATATGCATTGACCTTGAAGATAGGGAAATTCAACATGTCTAGATCGACGAACACCACTGGAACTTTACTGAATTCTTAAAAAAGGGTTTATAGTTATTCATCAGTCGATGTTTAAGCATATGCATTAGATTGAAGTTTACCTACTACAATCAAAATGATAATTCTTTATAAGAAGCCAACATTTTTGAGTTATTTTAATCTTTGATATATGATAAAGATTAGTTTTTTAATGACGCATAAGTTGCATAACGTAAAAGGAAACTTACAATTGAAACATTATGAACACTTAACGTGATAGTGCAAAGAACTTCATCTGAAATTGATATTTCCGATTTTTGAGATATGGGTCAACATGTTTGTCTTTGTTTCATTTGTGCATGCTCCTTTAAGTAGCAATGCTATAACGGCAAAAAATGTGAGTATTGAAAATCAAATCGTAATGTTACAATGGTAACATTTTTTAACAGCCATATTTTTCAAATTTAGTGAAACTGAGTAGATATTCATCTAAATTGTGTGTACATGTAAAGATAATGACAATCAAACAATCAAGTAACAAAAATAACATTTTATAACAGACATATTTTCAAAATGAAGACAATATTCATATTCAAATAAATTGTGAGCACAAATTTAAAGATACTAACCACCACATGGCATCCCTTTTGTTCATAAATGTATCATTTTGTCTCAACAAACATACAAAAGAAATGAGTGAAGCTTCTATCAACTGTTTCAGGTTAGCAAACACCTTCTTGGCATTCACTAGCTAGTTTATCCTTGCACCCACTATCCCTAGTACTGAGATATAGTTGGGTGTTATCCAACATGTTAGTTAATGGATCCATGTTCCCTTGGAAATGACCATTTCTCAATACAGCTTCTAAAACAAAATTCTCATTATAACCTAATGAATCAAGCTTAGAAATAGTCTCATTATAGAAAAGTTCCAATTTTTTCAACATAAAGTCTTCTAGTTGCTTGTCCGTATAATGATCCAACGATTTATCATCAACATTAGGGTTTAAATTAGGGGTTTGTGCCGATGGGTTAAACCCAAACTGGAAACCCATCAGATTTGACCAAGGATCTAAATCACTACCTGGTGATGTAACCGACATCCATCAATGTACCAGGCTAAAACGACTGATCGGGGTGAACATGTTTTCATCTACTACCAGCACCCATTATATCCTATAGAAAAAAAAACTTCAAAATTTATATAACGTTATCATTTTCATCAAAAAATTATATAGTTTCTAGATCTTAACATACTAGAAAAGATCGATTATGCAAACTTAAAAGTGAAATTCGACGTTTGAAAGCCAAAGGACCAACCACGTAACGTTTCGAAACCATATAGTTGTTAAATCTAATGATTTCATTTTGATCAACAAAATCGTATAGTTGTTAAATTTAAAGATTTCATTTTGATTAACAAAATCATATAGTTGTTTGATCTAAACATACATTTTTTCATGTCATAAAATTTCTATGTGCAATGATTCACTGTCATTAAAGGCCTATTTTCTAGTAGTGGTGTGTCATTAAAGGCCTATTTTCTAGTAGTGGTATCTCTTGTTACTCTTGGTCTTTTAGATGTATGATAAAACTTAATTTGTAAAGACTCATAAGTTTCATGAAATAAAAAGAAACATACATTTGAAATGTTATGAACACTTAACGTGATAGAAAAAACAACTTCATTTGAGAAATTGATACTGTCATGTTGGAGCAAGACTGAAAATATATATGTTTGTCACTATGATTTTTCTCCGACTAATAAAACATGGGTGTATATGTTTTTCCTTGTTTCATTTGTGTATGCTCCTTTAAATGTAGAGATACTAAAAATCAAATAGTCAAGTTACGACGGTAACATTTTATAACAATCATATTTTTTTTCAAGTTCAGGAAAAGTGTGGATATTAATCTAAGTTGTATTTAAATGTAAAGATAATGGAAATAAAAAAAATCACATTAAAACAATAACATTTTATAACGGTCATAACTTTTAAATTGAGGAAATGAGTGGGTATTCATCTTAACTGTCTGTGTAAATATAAATATATTAAAAATTAGATAGTCAATTTAAATGTAGAGAAACTTTTTATACACGGTAAACCTTCTCAGTCCGCGTAGAGAAACTTTTTATACACGGTAAACCTTGTCAGTCCACGTTACTAATTTGTCAGTCCGCATAGAGAAACTTTTTATACACGGTAAACCTTGTCAGTCCGCGTTATTGACTTGTCAGTTCGCGTAAAGAAACTTTATATATATATATATATATATATATATATATATATATATATATATATATATATATATATATATATATATATATATATTAAACGTAGTATATATACGAAATTCAAATATTTAATTGATAGTAGAGATCAATTTACACAATGACATCCAATGTACCAAGTTCTTCGAATGCATATTTGTTTTTGTCACTATGATTTATCTCCGACTAATAAAACATGGGTGTATATGTTTTTCCTTGTTTCATTTGTGTATGCTCCTTTAAATGTAGAGATACTGAAAATCAAATAGTCAAGTTACCACGGTAACATTTTATAACAATCATATTTTTTTTCAAGTTCAGGAAAAGTGTGGATATTAATCTAAGTTGTATTTAAATGTAAAGATAATGGAAATAAAAAAAAATCACATTACAACAATAACATTTTATAACGGTCATAACTTTTAAATTGAGGAAATGAGTGGGTATTCATCTTAACTGTATGTGTAAATATAAATATATTAAAGATTAGATAGTCAATTTAAATGTAGAGAAACTTTTTATACACGGTAAACCTTATCAGTCTGCGTAGAGGAACTTTTTATACACAGTAGACCTTGTCAGTCCGTGTTACTAACTTGTCGGTCCGCGTTTGTCAGTCCGCATAGAGAAACTTTTTATACATGGTAAACCTTGTCAATCCGCGTTACTGACTTGTCAGTCCGTGTTATTGACTTGTCAGTTCGCGTAGAGAAACTTTTTATACACGGTAAACCTTATTAGTCCGCGTTACTGACTTGTCAGTCCGCGTAGAGAAACTTTATATATATATATATATATATATATATATATATATATATATATATATATATATATATATATATATATATATATATTAAACGTAGTATCTATACGAAATTTAAATCTTTAATTGATAATAGAGATCAATTTACAAATTGGCGTCCAATGTACCAAGTTCTTCGAATGCAGCAAATCCATTTAATGCAACCTCTGCAACAAATGGCACATCTCCATGGACGACAACAGAGTTGTTGGTCCTAACATAATATTGGATTACCATTTACGAGGGTCTACCAGTAGTGGCTCCCCTTCATTGCCGTGTAGGTGATGAATGGTCCCGCCTAATAGCTTTGTTCAACTATCAGGTCGGACAAGGACAAGAAGGACTAAAACCTGATATTGTTAGTAAATGGATGGATTTAAAGTTTAAAGTCACATGGTTCAATCGATGCTACAATCATGAGAAAATGCAACGCTCTCAAGAAGATGATGAAGAATTTCTTGAAGACGTGGATGGATATTACTTGTGCGAGTTTGATGGAATTGATTTCGAGTATACGGACGTTTGGAATCTGGTAAACGATAAACCTTTTTTCATGTAGACGATTGTTTTATTTCCAATGTTTTATGTAATGTTTGTTAGTCGTAAGAAACCTTTTTCATGTAGACGACTCTTTTGTAATGTTTTTATGTTATTTGTAATGTTTATTTTGTTTGATTGTATGGTTTCATAACATTTGTTGCTGAATTATGTTTAAAAATAAAAGATAACTGGCAAGATTACATACTAGCAGAAGTGACTACATTAGATACTAGAAACAAGTATTTTATATATATATATATATATATATATATATATATATATATATATATATATATATATATAGGATATAGATCCGGTAAGAAGTTTTTTTTTGGTAGGAATGTAAGAAGTTTTTTTTCTACATATTTTTTTGACGAACAAAAAAAATGAATCACTAGTTGATTCATTTTTAAGATAATTCACAAGAAAAAATTCTCAAAAAAACATCTTTATGATTCATTTTTAAGTAAATTAAGAAAATTTTTACTTTTATGACAATTTTAGTGAATAACAACAAAATCATTATATAAATGAATCATCGAGATGTTTTTTTGAGAATTTTTTCTTGTGAATCATCTTACAAATGAATCATCTAATGATTCATTTTGTTTGTTCGCGAAAAAAATATGTAGAAAAAAAACTTCTTACCTTCCTACCAAAAATTTCCTTCTTATTTGATCTTGACTCTATATATATATATATATATATATATATATATATATATATATATATATATATATATATATATATATATATATATATATATCAACTTATATAGTTAGGCCTATATAGTATCCCAAATAACATTTGTCATCTTATTTTTGTGGAGAAATCCCGCATCTCTACGTGTCGTTGAAATCTTCACTGGTACCCCCCGAAACAATCATTTCCATAAACATGCATACAAAAACTCCACAATCCCCTCTGTCAAGATTATATTCTTGTTGTGGCACGTCTACAACATCAACAAACTCCAGCTTTGCTTTGTTTTTGTGTCCAACGGGGAAATGGTTCCGATACTCAATGACATCTAACTCTCAGATAATACTATCTCCAAAACTTGTGAATTCTCCACCAGTTAAGTACTTTGAGAAGTTACCCGTAATCCATGTTGTATCATAAATTTCTACTTTCCATGTATCTAAATGTAGCACCGCCAAAAACCAATGGCACTAATAACATTTATTACGAATAGAACCTGCAAAAAATAATATAAATTAAATAGTCGTAATTTTAGTAATATTATGTTTATAAAATAACAACTATTAAAGTTAACTAACCATATCCACATCCTTCCATTTAGGATAACCTCCAAAACCATTTGCTACATTCCTTAAAAATAATGATTTTCCGGGTTCCAAATTGATTTCCTGTGGAAATATCATCCACCTAGCGTTCGCCGGCCGCCTTTCCATCAGCAAGGAACTCCATATCGCAATATGTTGTACATTTTAAGATAAAAATGTTAGAATTATTTATATAAATTCTAGTCTAAAAAAATAGTTAAAAAATTTTAATTAAAGAAATGTTACTGAAGAAAGTAACCACCCTTTGTCAAAGTAACCTCGACCAAAAATCCATATCTAGTGGGAGAATATCCAGCCTATGTTTAATGATGAGTTTGGAAGAGAGAAAACTTCATTCTTTCCGAAAACTCTTCGAACTATTAGTATAAATACTATCCAACAAGAGATGGTTAGAAATGTCACTACTCGTTGCATTGACAATGTTCTCATTTGTTTTTTTAGGACTCTCCTCTATTTTTTTCTTCCTTGTCTTGCTGATTTTCTTCAATTTTGGTGTCGATTGCATCTAAAAAATCAACATGTTTAATCATTATCAATAATGTAATATTTTAGAAATATACCAAATTTAAAATATGATTTTTTTTTTACCACTGTGAACGGAATCCGCTGATACCATGCAACAACCCTCTTTCGTTGCAACCTACCAATAAGAGTCACTATTTTTGTGTCATGTTCACCCACGTCTTCTGAAGGCTCACCATGCTTAGGTGTAGGTGCAACTTTCTCCTCCAAACCACCATAGTCAAACTGTGTGTCATGGTAATATGGTTCTTCATCCTCTTCATTTATTATCTCCTCCTCCTCCTCTTGGTCTACAAACCGTTTCTTTGGCTCATCTTTTTCATGTAATACACGATCTACTTTAGATGATAACTCAGCAACAACGCCTAGTAGACGCTTCACTAATGCCTTTGTGCTACTCTTCTTCTTCTTTACGACCCTCGTTGATGTGTCGCTTGATGTATAAGTTCTTTCTATTTCAGGATGTTGTGAGGAAGAAACATTTGTGGCAGATTCAGTCGAACATGTATCCAACTTGTACATAGTTCTTCGAGGAGGCGAGGCAACAACAGGTGGACTATTTCGGATCGGACTATGTTGCGGTGGAGGAGACTCTTCATGGTTAAGAGTTCAATTAACGTAGCGAACATAAAACGGCAACATTAGCTCCATCCCGTTTGCCACGACTGGAATAGGTTCGTTGTTAGGCTAGAAAAATTAAAATCAAATTGTTAGTTTAAAATGAAAATACGTTGGAATTTGTAAGTATAAATAATCCTTAATATAAAAACCATACCACAAGCATATTGATTATTCGACGACAATTATCCCAAGATAACGATGTTTTACTTCTCCACGACCTCATCCGCGACAATCGTGTCGGGATGCGTACATAAAAACTGGTTGCCTCGGGGAACGTCTCCAAAATCCAGATCTATAAAAAGAAAATTTAAGTATCATGTTATTATATTTTATACTACAAACCGAAGTTCAATGTTATTATCGTATAAAAACAAAACAATGATAAGTAATTAAATTTATTACAAAATAACCTTAAACGGCAGCATAAAACCAGGAACGGTATACTTGTGTATTTTCTTGGATTCGGGATGGGCCTCCTTGAATTGTCTAAATTCTACTATTTTCTTAAACATTTCACGCATCATCTGCGAAGTATACCTCCAAAAATACGTACCCCATGCAAACCTGCAATTTTCATATTGTATATTATACTTATTATTATTGCATTCTATTTTTACACAATATTTAAATATAATACTTGTTCCAATCATCTCTATTATCAGCAAGCTTGTATATTGCAGCGAGAATGCATGTTTTAACGTCCCGTCCGTGGAGTCCCTTCAACACAAAAACAAGCTGGATAAGCATCACATCATTTTCATCTTGAACTACCAAATATTTTGGAGACATAATGAAGTCTTCCAAATCTTTCAACCACATACGCGCATCAGAAGAAATGTCTGGGAACAACCAAGCACGAAGACTTGAATTTGATCGGCTTTTTTCATCGTGGAGTAAATCCACATAAGGACCAACTTTTAAACCACAAATGAGAATATATTCCGTTTCACCAAAATCCAAATGCGTCCCTTGTATATCAAAAAGAAACCTCCCCATTTCAAATACTTCTTGAGACCTTACTTCGTGCAACATCATCAAATGCACAAGTAACGGATCACCATGTGAGATATCCATTCCTAAGAATATTCCAAACGGCGAAGTTGTGAATAATTGTCGTTGTGATTGTGTTAGACGCGAAAAATAATCTTTAATGACAGTACCCACCACACCTTTTAAAGTTAAATCCACTTTTTGATTGAGATCTAAGTGCTGCAAAACATAAGATTTAATTTAATTTAATTTAATATAAAAGGACATAAATAAATTTCGGAAATTATGTTTAAGGTCATTCCTCGGAGAAGCCTCTGCGGATAGACCAACACCTCCGCAGATAGCCCAAATCTGCTTTTTTAAATAGCATACTTCACTCCGCGGAGGGTCTTCTACAGAGTGATATAACCCTCCGCGGAGTGACATTCACCTCTGCGGAATGGATCATCACCATTCCGGAACCCACTTGTCGAACTCCATTTTTTGCTATCTAAATTTTTTAATTTTACCTATTTATTCAATGTAATATAATCGGTTTTCACCAAATTTCATACATATACTACATTAATCCAAAGAAAGGAATGTGAGAAATACCTGGGAGCCTAAACCGTCGCTCAAAATATTGGGGAGATTGTCCTCCATAACTGCCGGAATGACAGTTCGTAATCGAAGTCCTGGTCGCCGGTTTAGACGTCGGAAAATGACATCATTTGTTGATGTGGTCGCCGGGTGGCTGTTAGTGTCACCGGAATCTTCGGTGGTAAGTCGGTGCGGAGAATCGTGTTTGTCAAAGAGGATTCGGGGGACGAGTGGGGGGACCAAAGAGAAGGGTCCGATTTTGTCAAAAACAAGACGGGCAAATGACAAAAATACCCCTCTCCGTGGAGGTAAAATCGATTCGCGGAGGTCCGTAAAGGGCCTTCCTCGGAATGCGTGTTTATAAGTGGAAAAGTAATTTTTTATGACTAAATTTTGAAATTAGCCCCCTTTTTCGTCTATTAACGGTATTTTCCCAACATTTTATAATGGTCATATTTCTCAATTTGATGAAAAGAGTGGATTGGATACTCATCAAAATTATGTGTGTAAATGTAAAGGTATCGAAAATTAACAATCAAGTTACAACAGTAACTTTTATAATTTTCAAATTGAGGAAAAATGTATGGATATTCATGTAAAGTGTATATGTAAAATTTTAAAAATCGGATCGACAAGTCACAATGGTAACTTTGTATAGCGGTCATATTTTTTAAATGAGTAAATTACTGAATCGTCTCTGTGGTTTCGTTAAAATTGCATATTTGGTCCCTAACTTTTATTTTGCACTCGGATCGTCCATGTGGTTTGATTTTGTTGCATTTTTCATCCCTGTGGTTTGGTCAAAATTGCATGTTTGGTCCCTAACTTAATGTATGTAAGGGACAAAAAACGCAACAAAATCAAACCACGGGGACGAAAAATGCAACAAAATCAAACCACAGGGACAATCCGAGTACAAAAGAAAAGTTAGGGACCAAACGTGCAATTTTAACCAAACCATAAGGACGATTTCATTAATTTACTCTTTTTAAATTGAGTAGAAGCGTGTGAGTATTCATCTAAATAGTGAGTGTAATGCGGGTGCTATAATGGTAGTCGGTAGAGATACATATTTAACACATATTTATCATACCGGTCGATCGTATAATAAAGGGATAATGACTTGAAAGGGTAACGAACTTTTGATTTTTTTCACATTTAGTCACTAAACTTTTTTTCGTTATCTATTTGCCACTAAACTATTGAAACTGTTTACATTTTACCCTTATGACCGGCTGTTACCGATCATAAGGGTAAAATGTGAACAGTTTCAATAGTTTAGTGACAAATAGACAACGAAAAAAAGTTTAGTGACTAAATATGAACAAAATCGAAAGTTCTTTTCCCTCTAAAAAGTTCAATGACTAAATGTGAACAAACTTCCTCTTGTATTATGTTTTAGCAAATTATTTATTTTTGTTAAATTATAGCAATATTTGTTGAAGAAGAAATCTATGAAATAAAAAAAATAAAAAAATAAAACCCTGAAAATATATTAAATAAAAAAAACAAGAAACCGAAACCGAAATAAAAAACTAGTGGTTTGACATTTTCCAAAATAAAAAATCAAAATTTCCAATCTCATTTTGGTTTTACAAAAAAAATGAACCATTCTCACTGATGTGAATTATGACCATTGGTTTGACGTGCAGAATTTGTCACATCCCATGAATACATAGTTACAACATCGTCTGAACTCGTAATTCATAGTAAGGGGTTAGACTATCATCGCATGAATACGTAGTTACAACATCGCCTGAACTCGTAATTCATCACCTATAGGTTATGGGTCTGCTGGTGTTTCCATTGGGTTATCTAGAATAGTCCGTGGTCGCCATCTATACTCTGGTAGATGACTACATCGCCACATTGTTGGTTAAGGTTATGGTATCTTCTTTCATCCTACATCACTTATTCATCATCATCTATTTACCTAATTATTATCACATTTCTATCATCACCTATCTCTCATCATTTTATTTCATCACACACCAACTATTTCATCTACCCATGTTTCATCCGCAACATATTTGTAGATATAAAATAAATATACCATTTAAATATTTTAAAACATGTATAAAATCGTTCATCCAACATAGACAGCAAGTATTCAAATAATATGTACACATATCACATAATTTATATAAAATACTTCATATCTATGTGTAAGATGAAAGTAACTATATATACCATAAAAATCTCATAAATGTTTCCTAACTTCAAATGTCAAGGTTTACTCTACTAAAGCTTCACATTCTCGGCTCTCTGGACCATGAAGGGTCCAGATTCCTAACTTCAAACCCCAGGGTTTACTCTACTAAAGCTTCATATTCTTGGCTCTCTGGACCTAGAAGGGTCCAGATCTATAACACAAACTTACAAGAGGGGTTTGAGGCATTCAAAACCCCAAAGATGAAGTGATTCAAGCCGTAACCCCAAAATGGAATCTACATAATAGGGAAGGAAAGGGGTTCATTTTTGTACCTCAGAATGAAGCTCCTTGCTTGAATAACTCAGAACAGTAACCTTCCTTGGTCCCTCTTGCTGGAACTCTTCTCATTTCTTGCAAAATCACACCAAAAAGTTGAAGATAGCTCTTCCTCTCACTCTACACACTCAAGCTCGCTAGGGTTCTCACCTATGGGAAAGGTAGTCACAGTTGAAGGCCATAAGTGCCTTTAAGTATGCCTCAGGCCCAAAGATTTAGGGTTTCTGCCAACAGTGCGGACTCGTCGAGTCCATTCATTAATCCGAGTCATCAGTCGCGACCTTACTCGACGAGTTGAGGCGTCAACTCGTCGAGTCTCTCTTCTTAACTCAAAAGAAAAATAATTAAATTATGATACCTAAAAATCCGGATGTTACATTTTGTTTTTTTATTTCATAGATTTCTTCATCAACAAACGTTGCTACAATTAAACAAAAATAAATAATTTGCTAAAACATAATACAATAGGAAGTTTGTTCACATTTAGCCATTGAACTTTTTAGAGGGAAACGAACTTTTCATTTTGTTCACATTTTACCCTTATGACCGGTAACAGCCGGTCATAAGGGTAAAATGTGAACAGTTTCAATAGTTTAATGACAAATAGATAACGAAAAAAAGTTTAGTGACTAAATGTGAACAAAGTCAAAAGTTCGTTACCCTTTCAAGTCATTATCCCTATAATAAATGAATCTCCTACCCTAATAAATAAAAATGTTATTGTCACTTGTCATTCTCTACCCTAATAAATAAAAATGTTATTGTCACTTGTCATTCTCTCATTTAATTGACACATGTCATTTTCTCATAATTTTGAAATATCTTTATTTTCCACTTGTCAATTACTTCATTATTCATTTTTAGTATATCATTAATTTAATTTCCATAAATTAAACCTACTATAATAACTATTAATTTCAAATTTCAAATTTGAAGTTTCAATTTCAATTTCAAATAAATGTACACTTTAAACATTTGTATTTAACATTTTATTATAACAACTCGTTTAGTACACGGGTCTAAAAATTAAATACATAATTTTAGATAATTTATTTTTTGCATGTTTTTTTTTTTTCATAATTTTCACTTATTTCATATTTCAAATTCAAATAAACTTCTCATTTAATCACTCATATTTAACATTATGTTTTAATTAACTCGTATAATATACGGTTTCACAACTATTTTGTATAAAAAGTAATTTAATAAATAAGTGATAGCGCTCCTCCCTCAATGATGGGTGGTTGAACTTTATGTAATATGTATATTTAACAAAACGGAATCAGGTTTGTAAAAGCGGGCTTTTCGGCTATGAATATTGAACTTGAAGCAAGATTTTTGAAACGAGAGAAAAGACTTTATTTAAAGCCCATATCTAGAGAGACATATATATATATATATATATATATATATATATATATATATATATATATATATATATATATAGAGAGAGAGAGAGAGAGAGAGAGAAGGGTTCATGAGAAAATGCAAATAATTTGCAAAAACGCGAAAACAAAAAAAAAATTATGAGATTGTGCCACCTTAACTTTGTATTTTGGATAATAATTCATCCAAACTTTGAACTACATAATGATAATCGATGATATATGAGAAATTGTTTCATATTAGTAAAGCATGATTTTTAACATTTTTATTATAAAAACATGAATTTAACAGTGGTTATGGACGTGAAAAAAAAATAGTTGTTAAACCGTCTTTAAATCTATCTTATCGCAACACAATCAAATGTAAACTTATTATCTTTAATTTATTGCTAATAAATTTAATTTTTATAGTAATTGTGTTTAATTTTTATAAGATAAAATATGTTTTCGCGTTTTCGCAAGATATTTATGTTTTCACATAAACCTACTTGTGTGTGTATATATACACACACACACACACACACACTAGGTTATAATCCGTGACAACCACAGTTATAAAATTAATTAAACTCTCATAATAAAAACTTAAAAGTATTAATCAATTATTGCAAATAAATTGTTTTAAATAAATTATTAATTAAGAGATATTTTTTTAGTTATAAAAATCTATAATCGTTAATTTAAATAGATATATGAAATTATATCATCTTATAATACATATTAATTTTATTTTAATTATTATTTTAAAATTATTAATTTAATGTAATTAGAGTGTGAAATTTGACTTTGAAATTTGAAATGAAGAATCAATTATCAATTATTAATTTAATATTATTAGAGTAGGAAATTTAAAATTTAAAATATAAAATGGAGAATTAATAGGTTGACATGTGACATATAATACTAATGAAGATTTATAATATAATGACACTTGATAATATGAAAATAAACTTATTCATATATATATATATATA